AGAATGAAAGAAAGGAAGAAGGGATGGAAGGAAGAAAGGAAGGAATGAAGGAAGAAAGGAAGAAAGGAAGGAAAGAAGGAAGGAAGAATGAAAGAAAGGAAGAAGGGATGGAAGGAAGAAAGGAAGAAAGGAAATAAGTAAGAAAGGATGGAAGGAAGGAAGAAGGAATGGAAGAAAGAAAGGAAGAAAGAAAGCAAGGAAGAAAGGGAGGAAGGAAGAAAGAAAGAAAAAAAGAAAGAAGGAAATAAGGAAGAAAGGGAGGAAAAATAAAAAGAAGGAAGAAGGGATGGAAGAAAGGAAGGAAGAAAGGAAGAAAGGAAGGAAGAAAGAAATGAAGGAAGGAAGGGAGGAATTCAGCTTACGAAATTCAGCGAAGAATACGCTGCTCTATCGTCCTCCCTCTCGCGCGCGCCCACGCAGAAAAGAAACAAGCACACGCACAAAAAGCGGCGAAAGAAAGCATCATTTACCGTGCGGCGAGGGAAGCAGCAGCAGCAGCGACACGCTCACCCGTCTCTCAGTCGCCCGGCAACCGCCGCGGCCCTCGCCTGCACGTCCTCGTTGCCGTGGTTACGCATCCGTTCGACGCTCCCCAGGATGCCGGACTGTCTCAGGTCTGCGAGCCTGTCACCTGTTGCCGTGACGACGACGATGACGACGGCGGCAGACGAACAACGAAACGCAGATAAGTTACTCAGACTTTATTTTTATTGTTTTTTTATTATTATCTCAGTTATTAAGTCTCTACTGATTAATAATTACGATACCAAACAAATATTAATCATCAATTATTGTTAATCAATATAAAGAAACACCAATAATATATATTATTAACTAATTTGTCTTTTTTTCATCTAAATTTTTTAAAGTTTTTGCGTTATTTCTTCTACGATAAAACTTGCTAATCAACCGACACCCGCAACATGGCGCCACCTGGTGCCCGCCGCCGCGCGTTAGTTACGTACCTGACTGCAAGAGGGCGCTGAGGAGGCAGAGCGCGTTCGTCTGGATCTCTGCGGGGCTGTCGTCGTCATCGAGGATCGTCTGCAACGCTGCGACCAGCTCCCCTCCGCCGCCGCCGCCGCCGCCAGGGCCGCGACAGCACAGCGACGCCGGCACCCCCGCGTCTACATGACATAGAAGAGCGGTGATCGTGACGTCATACGTCGATGTTATTTGTCAACACGTGTACGTCGTACGTTAACATATACGCATATGTTAACATATGCGCATAATATGTTAACACATGTGCATAAGTTAACATATGAGCATAATATGTTAACATATGCGCATAATATGTTAACATATGTGCATAAGTTAACATATGAGCATAATATGTTAACAT